CGCTCTTCCCTCACTGACAGTTTGCACTTGTCATTTAAAAAAACCCCAACCAAGAACCAGAGACAGTTGTCGCGACAGTATCATAGAATCATAGAATGGTTTGGGTTGGAAGGGACCTTAAAGATCATCTAGTTCCAACTGTATGTGATTTAATCCCATGAACAGAGCCCAAGCAATGGGATACAGCCAGTCTGCCACCCTTTTTACAGGGGACGCTGAGGATTGGTATCTTTTTCCTCCACGAAAGATGAAAACTCTGCTCGCTCACCGCACAAGCCTCTGTCCCATTAAGAGAGACGTTCTGAGAGGGAACAACTGCACACCCAGCTGCCTCCTTAAAACAGCCTCAAGAGTCCTTGAATGGAAGGATACCTGGAAGCTGTTCACCACCTCCCACCTTGCAACCAGGTGGACAACTGCTCTACATAAAGACAAAAAAGCTAAAAGTCCTGACAGCACCAGGGGAAGCACTTATTACTATCAGGGAAATATCAGGCCATGGTCTTTAACCTGCAGAATGCAAAACCAGGGAGTTAAATGCTACCTGACTCTGCTTGTTGCCAAAAAAACCCAATCCAAACCAAAAAACACAAAATACTCCTCAATTATTGTTTGATTTGTAAACTAACAAAAAGCCCAAACCGAAGAGAAATCAAAAGCAGTATTTTCACAGTTCATCTATGAATTATCGTAACCTGCGTGGGGAAAACAGAACCATCTGTTTTCTGTTCATTAGGGCGTGACTGTACGGCTGCTCAAAACTGCTCGACTGAAATCAATTACTTGTTCGAGCCTTTTTCCCTACATTCACATTAATAAGCCAGAAACTGGAGTGGGACTGGGTTTATATAAACTACATGAACTGTATAAACTAAAAAGCAGTGCATGGCACAGAATTCATGAGTAAACAGATGCTGCTAAGATTTTTCTATTAAACTGCCATCATTAGATTAGAACTTGCATTCAAAAACTTGTATTTATTCAGCTATAGCTATTATTTAAAAAAAAAAAAAAAATCAAAGAAACCTCTTAGGCTGGTGTTTTTCACTCTTGATCTTAGTCCAGAAAAGATAACACATACATTCAGGGAGGGTTGAAATCAAGCATGACATTTACTTCTTACAACCCCCCAGAAAATATTAAGTCTTTAAAAACCTCTCCTACCTTACCTGAGGGATGTATTACAGAAGCTATTCAAAGAAAGAAAAATATACTGCTAGCCCAAGGTTTTCCAGGAAGGAAGAAGATTCTTTGTCCCTTCCCTCCCCATTCTGAACTCTATCAAACTGCCAATTCAGTTGTTTGCTTTTGGGGTTTTTTTTTGGTTGGTTGGTTGTTTTAAGACACTATACACGGGGAGACAGCTTAAATCCTCTCCTGCAGTTGCCTCACCTACACTCTTAGCGTTAAGGACAGTTTTCCAGTAGCAACTATGTAGTGTGTCCATCCAGTGGAGCACTGAACATCTGGTCAGGTTTCTCAAACTGTGATGCAGTTACACTCACAACATCTTCAGCTTGATTTTGAGCATAAAATACTATGGCTGCTGTTAAGGAGATGGTTTAATCTCCTTATACACCACACTGGACATCTCAGCACCGAGATGAGAAGGAACAAGAAAACACATCTGAGAAAGGATGACATGTAAGACAGACATCTTCAAACAAAACAAGCAATTAGAGACCCAGTGTACTAAATTACCCTTCCCTTACTTGAAATCTAACATCTAAGCATTTCAATGAACTTGTGGGCAAGAAGCTGTATACATGAAAAAGCTGTGGGTTTTTTTCAGTTTGAACATCATTCTTTGACTGAACATACCAATGAAACGAGAAAACATGCTGCTGGCACAGGACAACTTCGGAATGGCTCACAAGAAAGAAACAGTGACAACAGTTCTTTGCTTTAGGAACACAAAGTTAATCTGTTTATCAATAGTCGTCTGGCACAATCAGCAATATATTCAGTAAAGCTTACATTCCTATGTTGAATGGGCAGTTCCATTTTCCTGGGAACATGCTCACTGCCAAAATGCCAGCATACATGCTGCAGCATCTCTCCCACGCCTGCCAAGTGAAAAGGGAGAATAGCTATGACTACCCAAATTAACCTGCTATTCATGTAAGTGGTCTGAATCGTTTAAACCAGTTTTTGTTCTTTCTCAAGAAAATGTAATTTGTGTACTTTGCCTTGCAGACAATTTACACGATGCCCAGGTCTACCTCACTAGACAAGGATACTATTAAAACTTCTTAGGAAAAACAGACTTCAACCCAAAGCACAATTCATGCGAAGACTGACTGCCTCTTCCTACTCAAGTCTGCACTCAAAACTGATCAAGGCTGTAAAGCATCGTAACATACCCTCGCACAATTGCCTCAGAGCAGGGTAGCAGATGCAGGCCATGCTTCCATTTCCATTCTACACATTTGTGAAACAAAAAGACATTGTAACGAAGGACCATCAAAACTGTGTGACACTCAGAAATCTTCAGAACCTTTGCCATCTAGTAAATACACATTTACTTGTGCCGTATTTATGTATATCCTTCTGTAATTATATCGGGGTCTGCAGCACCCAGTGTAGTGTGGGAAGGAACTAAAACAGACTACAGGAATACAAGCCTTTTCAAAAAGCTGCAGGCAAGGATGCTTTTCCCAGCTCAGCTTGCTGATGACAATGTATTTTTAATGGCAATTCTGGCAACGTGGTGACCCCTAACTCCGCCGCAAGCCAACAGCCGCCTTCATGTCCACACGTTTCTAACACTTCTGGTTGCTGCCGTCTCATGGCTAATACCGATCGTTCATTTGGCCTGATTCAATTCAGTGTGATTCACAGCAGTAAAAGCTTGTTTCACACACAATTAAGCAATGTTCCCTCAGAAAAACAGATGGATAAATGCCTATGGTGCGGGATGTTTGGGGTTTTTCCCCTTTTAAATATTATGGACCAGATAAATGGCCAGTCTGAGTCTCCTCTTTAAAAAATGGCCTGTCAGCATTAA